GACTAAACAACAATATATTTTAAAATGGTCAATAAAACCAATAATAAAAACATTTAAAAACACAGTAAAAAAGAACAACCCATTTAAAAAACCCTCTCAGTCTGCCAGTCACTATGGAAAGCCGTGCCTGAAGAGAAAGGTCTTTGCCTGATACAGAAGGACAGCAAAGATGAGGCCATCTTAGCTTCTCATGGGAGGGAGTTCCAGAGCCTGGGAGCAGCAACAGAGAAGACCCTCTCCCATGTCTTCACCAAGTACACCTGTGACGGGGGTAGGACCAAGAAAAAGCCCCCCCCCCCCGTTGATCTGAATTCCTGGATAGTCTTACAGAGGGAGGGGTGCTCTTTTAGATAGCTTGGGCCCAAGTCATTTAGGGCTGCATAGTTTAAAACCAGCAGTTTGAATTATGCTCAGAAATGGATCAGCAGCCAGTGGAGCTGCTGTAACAGGGGTGTTATATGTTCCCTGTTACCAACCCCTGTTAGCAGTCTGGCTGCAGCATTATGGACCCACTGAAGTTCCCGAACATTTTCCAAAGGCATCCCCACATGCCGTGTGTTACAGTAATCGAGCTGAGATGTAACTAGGGCAAGTGTTACCGTGGCCAGATCAGACCTCTCAGGAAATGGGCATGCTCCCCACTGATACCCAGTGTTAAAGAAGATGCTTGCAGAGTTGTATTTCCTCCCCCCCGCCTCCCCCAACAGAAGTCTCAGGAAATTCTGAGGAGCATTTTGGAAAAAGGACAGATCAGTGATCCAAGGAAGGGAGAAGTGAAGCCTGTTTTTCACAAGATATGAAAAGGGAAGAATGGGGGGGGGGAACTGCTTCGTGGAAGTGGGTTTTTAGTGAATCACATCCCTTAGGCACCCATGTAAAGGTGTTGTGGGGTAGAGGAGGACTAGAGATCCTTTCAGCTCTGTCCAGTTTGGAGGGATGAGGTTTGTCCCCATCTCAGCAATATTGAGACTGCATGAGAAGCAGTAGAATAAAGTTGGGAGAAAAAGTTACTGTACTGATGTTTCTGGAAAAGCAGATAATCATGAGTGCTGGTCCTTAAAAAAAGAAAAACAGGTTACCAGGGCGGGTTTGATTTAAATCAAATTGAGTTTAATCTGACAAATTGATTTAAATCATGATTCAAACCACAATTTAAATTTTAAAAAATCTGATTTTTTTTGACCGTTTAAATGAAAATGGATTTTAAAAATGTAAATCATTATTTAAATCAATTTGATTTTTTAAAACCAAATTGGTTTTTAACCACTCTGCAGTAAGCCTTAGTTTGCGGTTTCTGCTGTACATAGTGAAACTGTTGTGACAAACAATGCCTGCCTCAATTCTGAAATGAAATTTAGAAGTGCTCTAATTTAATCTAGAAGGCAAGCAGAGTAGAAGACAGTATACGACCAGCCTATGCAATAATAATGTGATGGAGGACAGTTGTACACGGTGTTGAACACTCTTATTTTGTAGGAGGAAAATATTACTTTATGTTATTTCAGAACCACTTTCAGTTTATTTGCACTGGACTCTGCCCCCCATTTCCTGTATTTTAGAGAACAGTGAAACAGTGGTTTTTCTATTTGAATTTTTTTTTACTAAATTTAAGTATGAGAGAAAGTGAAAAGTGGTGGTGGGAGCAAACAGAGCATGTGTTTCAGAACCATGCATTTTTGTTTATTGTGGCAGGTGTGTTCTAAAGCAGCATACAAATATCTCAGAAGAGTTTGGCAGTTTACAAAGGATAATCAGACAAATTATATATTTTAATAGAAAAAGAATGAATTGCTGAGCAGGAGGGCAGCTTGTGACTGAGAAAGGGCAATATCACCCACTGACATTGTGGAATATGGTACACAACCCCATCCGCATCCTGATCTATGCGCTGCCCTTTGTTGGGAGGAACGAAAAGAGAATGAAACACGACTCCCTATTGCAATGTACTGTTAGTTGGCAATTTGCAAATGTTGATTACCTAGGAGCAACTCAAACAACTGATCATACATGGTCATATGTGACAGAATTTGCTCCACTGATAAAATGAGTGTATCCGTGGCCTTGCCAGGACTGTGCCGCGGAGACAACTCTCCTGGCCCCCCCATGTGTAGATGCATGCACGGCCCCTCCCACGCATGCACAGACACACACACCCTGCGGTGCCGCGGAGACAACTCTCCTGGCCCCCCATGTGCAGATGCATGCGCGGCCCCTCCCATGCATGCGCACCCCCTCCCATGCACGCACAGACACCCCCCCTGCGCCTGCATGCTAAACTGGTCCGTGGAGGCAAAAAGGTTGGGGACCACTGCTCGAGAGGGCTTCAACTTCTTCATGACGGGAAGATTTGATCGTGTTTTTCCTCCTACAGATGTTCCTGTGAAGAAGGGGCATGTCTTTGGGTAGCGGTTGGGGTGTCCCACTGTAAGGGAAAACAGTTGGAGCTTTGAAATCCATGTGGGTGCAAAGAACACATACAACACACTGGGTTCCCCTGCTCCACAAACTGTTCCAAATGTTTTGACAGGAGTTCAGATGGAAAGAGAGAGCGAAGGCATTCAGCCTGCAAATAGGGAGGAGGGGGAATCCCAGTGTGTGTTTCTGTGTGTTTGTGTCCCAGCTGTTTTCCCTTGCGGGACATTTTCTGACATTATTTGTAATGTGTGCACACACACACCCCCCGCATTGGGATTCCCCCACCCTCATAATTCACATCATGGAATAGGTCAATAATAGGATGATCGGCAGTCACTACCTCCCCTCACTTTCCCAGCTCTAGTTTTCTCACACACAACCATTAAAGGATTGTAGAGGCTGGACCAGAGGAAGGAAGGGAAGAAAAGGGTGGCGGTGGCTGTGAGTTGGAATGCTACTCCCATCACAACAAGTATGAACGGTGAACTCTCATATCAATCTGTGTGAGCACTGATTGTGGTTTCAGATACAATACATGCTATGAATCAAATTACAGCAAAGAGGAAATGTTCCGATTGAGCTCCCCAGTGTAGTCACAGCCTGAATTACAGAACGGAGATGCAGAAGCATGGGACTGCACCCAGTCTCATCTGATTCTGGAAGCTAAGCAGGGCAGGGCCTGGTTAGTACAGTGGCACCTCGACTTATGAACTTGGAACGGTGTTCATACATCGAAAAGCTCATAAGTCGAGGCAAGATTTCCCATAGGAATGGGAATGAGAACCATTCAATCCATTCAGGCTGTTTTTCGTTTGTATGTCGAGGCGCTGTTCGTAGGTAGAGACATTAGTTCCCATAGGAACTAATGCAAAGCCGGTTAATCTGTACTCTACCACTAGGGGGATATTTTTTTTCTTCTTCTTTTGACGTAAGATGAATTTAGGTCAAAAAAAGGGCAGGAAAGGGTTTTTTTCAGATTTTTTCGTTTGTAAGTAAAAAAAGGGCAGGAAAGGTTTTTTTTTTCCAGTTTTTTTCATTTGTAAGTCGAGACTCCGTTTGCAAGTTGAAGCAACTGGTAACTCAAATCGTTTGCAAGTGGAGACGTTCATAAGTCGAGGTACCACTGTGTTTGGATAAGTGACCACGAGGGAACACCAAGGATCTCCGGATAGCACTGAGGAAAAAAAAAACCTGGAGAGCTTCTGCTATTCAGAGGTGATAGTACTAGGCTAGATGGACCAATCAGGACAGGGTAGCTTGCTGTGCTCCTGTTGGAATCCTTGCCTTGTGTGTGGGTAGCAGTTCTTGAGCGAATGTTTTCAGTCACTCTTATAGGGTGTCATGGAGAGGAAACAAAGAGAGAGCCCCCACGCTTGTGGAATCCCATCTCCAAGGGAGCTCTGCTTGTTTTCTTCTGGCCTTTTATATGGGGACTAAAT